AGTTCGATAGTGCTACAAAAAAATTACTCGTAAATACGAAGCATAATTTCAGTGCAGAGCATGAAGTCGTAAATAAATGATTTGCGTTATTATTATTATTATATATATTATAAACGAACTATAATTCTAAATTACTGATAGCTGTAAATAAGTATCCCAGAAACGACTACTATGAAATAGCGTACTCTATCGACAATCATCGAAACTAAGAATTTTAAGACCTGCCTAATGTGTGAACTTGTACGCGTCGGTATTATAGGTAATCATTTCCATTCTCTGTTATTGTAAATGAGATTATCGCACATTCCTATTTCAAAATTATTATCACTGTAACGATGTAAATTTTATACTTTTATTTATGCACAGTATTTTATTTAATTACAAGCTTCGTAAACTATAAATATGCCATAAATAACAGTTAATGAATTAAAATATATTTATACTTTTTATTTTTATATTTTACACAATTAAATAATCTTACCTGTATTATATATATATATATGTATGCATAAACAAGATGCACTGATATATTTTCTTTAAAGAAAAAGATGCAAGAGATAAAATATATTTCAAAAATTTGTAAGAATTTCTAAGAATGTAATAGAATAATAAGAAATATAACAAATATAGCACATATTTTACTTGCTTTAATTGCATACCAACAAATTTGTAAAATATGTACGACATCGCGTGCAATTTTGTTTACTAAAACAGTTCTTCGTAAAAATTTTAATCGTATTTCATTTACCCAAAGGAATTTGTTATTTGGATTTATTCGTCGCAAAGCAACGTGCTTTAACAATAGCCATTGTAATAGCACATTCTTAGAAGAGTATCAATGATTTTCTAAAAAATAGTATGAAATTCAAGACACATCTGAATATACATATAATGGAAATACATGAAAACGTTATATTTGAAGAAAAAGTGTTGTTAGACAATCTGTGATGGATAATGTTTATAACATAACTTCCAATCAACTCTGTCAACACATTTGCAGAAGCGCAGTACCGTTATCTACAAGTAGTTTGTTTAGTATATCATCAATCAAACGCTAGAAGTAAAGGTCACTCATACATTTTCTCATAAATTCAAATATATTAGCTGTCTTTTATTATTTATTTTGCGATTTATCTATTCATTTCAATTAAAACATTCGAACATTCAACAAGCTAAATTAAGCAACGAGGCAAATCAATTATTTAATTTTAAATAAATATCAATTAGATATTAAGTCGTGTAATACTGATGAATTAACAAGAAAAGCAAAATGTATATTTGTATTTAAAATATATACATATTCGTCTCTTTTTAATATAAAATAACACGAAGATATATAAATATTATAATAGGAAATATTGAAAATAGGTGATAAATCGAACATAATAAACATTTTATAGAATATGAGATATGATAAAAGTGGTGTTTCTTTCTTTCTAGAAAATGACGCTGTAATGAATATATATTCGTGTTTGTAGGTATTGAAAAATATGTATCTTTCTGTTCTATAAAATTGTATTGGGTATTTTCTATCAGTGCTTCGCTTCGGCTCGCCTCACTTTAATTCATCCTACGTTCATCAGTTCGACCTCGCCGAAGATTTACTATCGCTTATAACGAGCTACGATATCTCTTGACATTTCGATGCATTTAAGTGATATTTATGACTTATCTACTTTAATGAGGATGCTATTTTTTCTATACATGCTGCTTCAAAGACTCAACTCATACAACTGTCATTACCATTCATTGATTTAATCAGAATGATGCAAAATTAAGATAGAAGTGTACATTAGTAAGAAGAATTTTTACTTAATTGTGCAGTTCTACGTCGAGCTTCTACTCGTTCCATTTCTTTAATGCTTCATGCAAATTAGTGAAAATTTCTAAATATGTAAAAGAATAATTTTTCTTTATATATACATATTTATTACATATTCATAATTAAATTATGAAATTATACAAATTATAATAAAATAATATGCTAATCTTAGTACATAATATTGCTCCTTCTATCATTATTATAGGTAAAAGGAAGTTCAATGAAGATTCAATGAGATCAGCAGATCTCATATGACTTCCCACTTCTCTTTTTTTGCTCTTAATACGAAAGACAATGCACAACGCTGGGGAAGCCTGGTTTACTTGTAAGGTTTGGACAACGTTGCTATAAAGACAAGAAAACATATAATATGATACAAACAACAGATCTGTTTGCGTTCTAGTAACGAAATTTCGATAATTCAGACATCGAGCGCCTATCGACGAGCAACCCTTCCTACACACCGATCGCTTCACGCGTCTATCATCAAACTTATCGTTGAACCATTATCAAATTACTATTTCTTTTCTACGTGTATGATTCTATATCCATTTCTTTTCTATAATCCCATGTATGATGCTACTATTTTCTAATGCAATTGCACGGACAAATTCTATTACATCGTACGAATGAAGCAAGAATTAAAATGAACAGAAAATCAACGTAATCGTGGAATGTAAAATTATTGCACGTAATAAATTATTAAAAATAAGTTATTATCATTTGAAAGTTGAAATATATCTAATTTAATATTTCTATATAATATTCATTACCCTTCTTTTAAACACTTACGACTATATAAACTTATTAGTAAAATCTATCGTGAAGAGTTAAGATCCACCGTATATATATTGAAAGTATCCCAACGATATTGCAAGTATCTCATTTTTGAACGTAAAATAGAAGTTCTCTCCTTTCAGGAAAGGGTATACTTTTCTCATTACCATTACTCGCGACCACCGAACAAACTGGCGTTTGAAGAACGTTACGATACACTTCAAAAGGGCGTCTAAGTTTTTGAACATGCACGAAAAAATATGGGAAGGAAAGGCAGGAGGGAGGGAGCAAGCAAACGGTGAAAACTAGTAAGAACGCATAAAATCGCAAAGGGAAATTCAACGAGCTCCGCAATATCTATATAACACAAGATAACGGGCGAGAACGATGTCGCGAGAGACGTTGCTACTTTATGCTTGAGAAATGTTGCCGGTGCCTGCAGACTGAAACGTAACAAGCTGCTTTGATCTTCTGACCTGACGTACCTTCGAAGTAGCGTATCATTATTCGGTAGACATTTTTATTTAGTATTCAAAAGGGAATGAAAGCTTGCAATTACCATCCGTTTTGCAAATAGTCAGATCCCACGCGGTAAACACGGAGGAAATTGTTGGTATTACGATCTTTCCAAGCTCGTCGAGACTCGACGCGAAATCACTGGCGTTTCATTCTTTTAAAAGCTGATAAAATATACCTGCCTCTCTCTAATTTCACAATTGCTGGATAAGTACTCTTATCGCGTGTTAAATTCTTTCATTTAGGATGAAAAACGAACATTTTAAATTCACGTTAAATTTACTTTCATCGATTCTACAAATGTCCGCCTGATATTTGTTCTATTATACATCATTGCTTAGCGCGTTCAATGTGGACATCGCTCAGTCGTTTCTTCGATATATACAGGGTGGTTGGTAACTGATGGTACAAACGGAAAGGGGGTGATTCTACGCGAAAAATATAGAATAAAAGATTCTTTTTTTAATTTTTCCATCGAGACAACGATCTACAGTGAGATCCGTTATAAACTGATCGTGATAAAGTGCACGCGTACCGACCGAAAGTTCAAAGTCGATTTTCTCGAAAACAAAGCCTCAAACGAAAAATTTTTATTCTATATTTTCGACTTCTTTTTTCGCGTAGAATCACCCCCTTTCCGCTTGTACCACGAGTTACCAACCACCCTGTATATATATCGATTTCGTGTTGACGAACATTTATTATTTATTAGACTGTAGCGGCATACGCGTCTTAGGGCGTTTCGATACGAAAATGCCTCACATAGTTGTTTTGCCACAGAGGATTAACAGTGTACGACGCACATAATGTAATGAACAAACTCTGGACAAAGCAATTTCGCTGCAACCTACAACCGGCGACAAGTTTAAACCTTCCGCTACCCCCTTCGACCAGTATAAATAGACGACCATGTTCTCCAAGATTCAGTCAGTCGAACGAATAAGTATAACGAATCTGAATATTATCAAGCAAGCAACACTTGCGATTAACTTTGTATTCTACATTTTAAAATATCTGCAAATATAGTTAATTAAATCAACTCGTCTCGTTATTAATTTAACCAACAACAAGTCTCACCGTCCACCACAAGGCGTATCATTAAGCATATGTATAACATAAAACTGCTTAGTAAGCAATGTGTATAATATAATGAAACTGATTATAATCGAAGTGATTAAATTGTTTCGGTAATAAAAGAGAAAGATAAAATAGTACAAATCTAAATGGGATCTACGATTGTTGCATTCAATTTCTGTTTCGCTTCTTATTTTCTATGCGTCTATTTCGTGCTTCAGCATACATATTTTGTCATTTATTTTAATGAAAAGGCGCCTGTGATATATGTGTGTATGTACACTCTTTATAATTAAGCTGTTAATATCAACGTAAAGGTAATGTAAAAGTCACACGTTGCTAGGTCCTTTCAAAATCATGAAAGATACACTCGTTTACGTAGAACATATCGAAATCCAAAATAGCAGTGTGTGATTATCATTACTTTTAAACATCAATGATTGATTAAACTTAGAAATGAAATTAAACCTAAGAATAAAAAGCTATTATTTGTTTTGAAATTAAGAAGTGTTTAGAAAAAAATTGTTCTCTTTTGCTCTTACAAGAACGTGTGTACTTAATCTGCCCTAAAAAAAAAAAAAAAAAAAAAAAAAAG